CCAGGATTTCGGTGATGCCGGCTCGGCGTCTCTGACCTCTGATCCACCCGGCCACCTCATTTTTTTTTTCATTTGCAAGCCCTCTCCCCACAAATCGTCAAGGGATAATGTTATTGTTGGCGCGTCGAGGGTTTTAAGTAAGTATTTACGAGACGTATAAACAAAGTCCATCGGAGAGAGGGCAACTAATCCACGCTCGGGGGTAAACAGTTCACAAAATAAATGTGCGCTCGAGCGGAACCTAATCAGGTGGACGATTCACTCCGCTCCGCTCGGGGTCGGCACCAACTCCCAGGGATTAAGCCCAAGCTGCCGGCGGCCCAAGACCAATCGGAAGCCCTGCGGTGACCTCGGAGACAAACACGAGCCCAGTGCCTCGCGCTGTTGTCGCCGTTGTGGTTGCTGTCAGGCTGTAAAATTCCCACTGCTGGGCAAAGATCTCCCCCAGCCCCCATTCTCTTCCATTCCTTCCTTTGCTTTGCGATTCTATGAGTCTGTATCTATGGGTCTCTGTGTGAGCCTATGGGTCTCTGTGTGAGTATTATAGGTTTCTCTGAATTTCTGGGTCTCTGTGTGAGTTGTATAGGTCTCTCTGAGTGTATGTGTCTATGTGTGAGTCTATGGGTCTCTCTGAGTGTATGTGTTTCTGTGCGAGTCTTATGGGTTTCTCAGAATCTCTGGGTCTCTATGTGAGTTGTACTGGTCTCTCTGAGTCTTCGGGTCTCTATGTATGTCTATGGGCCCCAATGTCAATCTGGGAGCGAACCGTCGGACATCATGACGTTTCACCCAAATCTATACTTTGTCACCAATATTGATTCACGGTCGATTCAATAATTAGCTTTTCATTATATATTTTTTACTGGCACATTCGTTTTGTCTCTTGATTTATTTTTGCCTCACTTGTAATTAGCATAATTATAACTAGCTGATTCTCACACGCACGATTAGATGCACGCATCGCGAGCATTGGAAACGATGTCGAATGAATCGACGCCTTGTTACGTGCCTAGCTTCAGTGAGAATCGGCATCGGGGTCAAAGCACAGATGGGGTGGACGAGTAAAATTTCCTGAACTGAATTGTCAGCCTTGACAAAGTCATCTGCTTTGAACGGAAAACCTTCGAGGCAGCAGAGGAGTCTCCTAACATAATGTCATAACATTACTGGAACTGGTGACAGACTGACAGCCAAAAACCAAAGGCGAGAATCGGCCCGAGAGGGCGGCCACCGCGTAGACGGCGCAAAGGGATCAGTACGCGTGGACTGTCGCATCGCAGGACCATGCGGCATGGTGATGGCGCGTGGAGGCCTTCATCCAGCAGCGGACAAACAATGACCGGTGACGAAGATGATGACTTCGCTGTTGTCGTGAGCAATTTTAAACTAAATAATAATTCATTTAACTAAAACCTGCGTTCGATTTCTCGCCACGGCTAACATTAGTGGCGAGTGACATCTGAACCGGTCCTGCATTGACGAGCATGGCGGAAGTATGGTCAAACAACCCCCACGAACCACACAGCACGGGGACAGGCCCCATCCAGCAGTATAGAGACAGAGGGCTGTACACGTGCCCGCATAAGAACAGTAAATATCATACAAGCAAAAAACGTAGGGCGAAATAAAACCTGCACACACAACGACGATCTCTTGCAAATGATGCCACAGCTCCTCTCTCTATTTAACATCCGCATCACAGCAGACTTGGGTAATGGATGACCGTATCCATTACCCGAGGTGTGAAACATTGGGACATGTCATGGGAAGAAAAATAATATCTCACAAGGACTTGAAGAGCGGAGAGCCAAAATGTAAATGCATTGTCTCGAATGGTGTATCACTGCGCGATTTGATAATAACTGGGAATTTTCATGTTATGGGAAGGACTTACAGATCTCTCCAGGAGAGATGTCTCAACAAGAAAAGAGGACGATCCTGGGAAAGCCAAGACTGGTGGGCAAACTAAATTACTCGATCGGGATTACACGTAGCGATCATCGCCCACTAACGGCAAGACAAATGCCCGCTCGCAGACCAGGTGCCGAATAACCTTGTGCTGCACAGGGACAGCTGCCACTTGGGGCGTCCTTTCGAATGTTCGAGGGGAGATGTGATGCGAGTTGCTCGTCACACACGTGAAGCAGTCTGGGACACCCCAGCATATAACGGGTGGCGCTTTATTTAAAAACAACTTATTGTTATTAACCCGGGTGGAGCTAACACAGGTGCTCCCCTGGGTTCGACTACTGCCTATCAACTTGATTAATGAGCCCAGACCATAGACCTTGAAGTGCGCCCGGCGAGGGTACATCCTGACCCTGACCGCCGTCATCGCCGCCACCGGGGCAGAGTCCTGGCAATGATGACGGTTGGCATTTTCCTCGCTTTGTTTTCCCTCCATCTGCGCCCCCCATGCACCCCTACTGGCCCCCAACGGGCAATTAATCCTGACGACCGGGTTTCACACATATTGTTGGCAGCGGGATTAATCCAGCGACGGGCAAAACGATGGACAGGCAGGCTCGTGCGCACGTGTGCGTGCGTGCGGGGAAAACGGCAAAAAGTGGCGACAGGACACACAACGGCGGGCCGGCAAGCCGACAGACGGACTCGAACGGTTCCCCCCCCCCCACAAAAAAAGAAGCCCTCTCCGCAAAATGTAGTGAAACGAAAAAAATAACATTTTGGCAATGAAACGGTGGAGGGGAGACACAGCAGATTTGTCGCCTGACCTGAAAAACGACTACTGTCCGTACGCAATGGTGAAATGAACTTGCAGCGGCCTGGTGTTTTTTTTAGTCATTAGAAATGGTGGTGGGTGGCGGCAAGACTGGTAATCTACTTAGGTGGGATTTCAGAGAATTAAGTAATTGTTGGGATTTAGATAGTCCTTTTTGTAGTGATTAAATTTTTGGGGTAATTTTTATAAATAACTGACGGCGGGGGCACCGCAACCCTGAGCTTGAATTGCACCGGACTGACCTGCCGACCCGGTCGCGATATCTCAAAACACATTCCACTCCGCTCTGAGTCACGGCCGAGCCGTTGGGGTACATCTGATGAACGCTCGCGACACAGTTGGCTCAGCGCGTTTCAAGAAGCAAACACAAAAAGGGTGAAACACGATAAGAATGCAAAGCGGCTGGCACGCTGAGCTACGAACCCGATGACCCGGGGGCACCCGAACTGACCCTGAACGGATCCTTGGCCCACTCCCTTCACCAGCCTGCATTGACCAGTGTGGCGAAGTATGGTCAAACAACACCCACGGCCGACACGGCATTGGTAGAACGTCATCCAATAGTGGATTGACCAAGGTCTGTACGCTTATTATATTTATCATTATGAATTATAGAATTCCTAAGCACGCTTATTATTCCGCAATAGATATATTTTGCCATCCTTTATTTCACCACACGAGCATCGTGGAGGTTCGTAATCCCTTTGTTGAAGGGAGATCTGGGGAGGGGGGGGGGTACCATGTACAAACATTGCTACTGCACGTAACTCACAACTGACGTCACGTGGTTGCACATGTCTTCTTTACGGAGCACGCTTTGCCACACATGACTGGGCGAGTGCCTTGTGACTTCTGCCAAGAATAATAAATAAGTTCATTTATTTATCCAGGAAAGCCTCACCGAGCCTTGAGACTCTTTTTGACAATAGTTTCCTGCCGCTGGTACGTTGTTTTGTGCGTGGAAGGGAAAACCAGAGAAGTCGCGGAATAATCCACGCAAACGACTCGCCCAAGTATTTTTTTTTGGACGTACATTTCGTACGCTTTAAAGACGCAGGCAATCGTTGGTATGATGGCGAAAGGTGCGTTTCGCTTTGGGCAAAGTGCGTCAACCAATTAGGAGTGTATATAATGGAGGAACGCTCATGACAAGCCGCGGTGTCGGACGTACTCGGACAAACTCTGACTCATCCGCACTGAAATAGCGATGGAGCATACGGTTTTCTTCACTTGTCAAACGAATGCCTTATTCCACAACTAAGCCATCATTTTCTAAACTATAATTAACGTCAAAATCACATTGAATACGTATCACTGAGAGGATTTGACATTTTGACTGTGAGAATGACTCGTTTTTGGAACTGCACCCAAGGATCTAGAGAGACAGACGAGCTTCACAAACCCACTTGCTGTACTGCCATCTACTGGCATCCTTTATTTAACCTTGTGAGAGCCCAATGAGATCCGGTGTGCCCTTTTCGGAAGGCAGCGGCTGTATAATGGTCCAGAAACTGCACGACGATCCTGGCAAAAAACCCGAGTTCGATTTCCGGCCGCGGCCAACATGGATGTTAAAAACCCGAACTGGTCCTGGGCACGCCTATTCTGTGCGATCCACCACGCCTGCCTCCCATTGTGGCAAAGCCACCCAACGGCGCAGGAGCCAAACCGCCAGGGCAATCCATCCGCCAACACCGGCCACAATGAAAATGCCCTTTCTCCCCCCCCGCCCCCCCAAAAGCTGTTGCTAAGTATGCCTCAACCGCCGGGGCTTATTTATTATTTACCACTTCACCCGGTGCAGCATTCATACTAATGCGGCCTCTCGATAACACCCTCTGCTTGATATGCATGCCAAGGTCTGCGCCTCTGGGTGGCATCTAACCTAGGCGAGGGAGGTATCCGGAGATGATTAAAGCATGCCGACGAGCAACTTGCCACTGTCGTATTATAGTTGACAACCGGGGGAGGGGGGGGGGGGAGGGGGCAGACAAGTCACAAAACGCAGGAAGCCAAGAGGCATTCCATTCTCAGCGGCGGCCGCGGAGGCTCGAGCGATGACGGCAGCGTCCGCGAAGAGGTGCAGCGCCACCGCCGCGTCTGGCTGGGTAAAGGTCAAGCGCTCACTTCCCTCCCCGCCGAGCCTCCGCGTGACCCCCCGCTCCCGACCGTTTAACTAAACGGGCGGCGGGTGGAGGCGTTTCGAAACCGGCTCGTCGTCGCTACGGCGCGCGGCGCAACAATTTACGTTACTCACAACACGGTCGCTGCTGCTTCCGCCGCCGCCGCCGCCACTGCTGCTGCTGCTGCGGCTGGAGGAAGAGGAGGACAGCGGCTGCCAGCGGCTTTTGCCCGCCCGCCCGCCCGTACGGTTTAGCGAGCGCGCGACGGCGATTGCGGCCGCGGAGCACAGGAGAGCAGACGGGCCGCGCCGTCCATTTGCAAATTTCCCAGACGGATTTTACAGTGCGCGGGGGTGCCCGGCGACGTCTGGACGATCACACCGACGCACGCGCGCACACGCGCTCGCTCAATCGATGGGACTGCCAGTGCGGCAGGCAGGCAGGCGGGCGGGCGAGCAGGGAGGAGACGCGTGCGTGTGGGGAGGCCGCCCAGCCGCACGGGAGGGGTGGGAGGGAGTGGAGGAGGGGAGGGGATCAACACAAGGTCGGCGCAGGACTTTCCGAGCGGTGACCTTACACAGCACCACGCCCCCGGCACACTGAGCCCCCCCCCCCACCGGGATTGAGGGAGGGGGGCAGAGAGGGGGAAGCCGTAAGAGGGGATTGTGCTGCCACCACGACCGCCTTGCCAAGCTAAAGCAGGACTAAGGGCCACGGATAGGCCCATGCTACGTTATTGCACCTGTTCAATGAATTTCCGCGCGCAATGGAGCGCTGCACGTCTAGAAAATGAACCGAGTCGGGTCTACGTTTCGTCTGTCTCGATCTGTCGAGCTCTAGACGCTTCTCCGCGCATCATGCTGTGACGTACGGAACGGAAACATGAAACACTGACCAAGAAAAGCTAAAGAGTGCACAAAGAAGCATAGGGAGGTGCATTCTGGGAATCACACTGAGAGACAGAAAGAGGAACAAATGGTCAAGAGGACATACACTAGGCAGAGATATTATCACTGCTAAAAGAAAGTTAGTACACGACACCGCCAGAAGAGATGACGGCCTCTGGTCGAGACTAACGAGTAGAAGCCAACGGAGGAAACAAACTCGAGAGGACGTTCACTGTAAGAGATGGAGTGATAAAATCAGCTCGTACTCGGGTGCTAGTTGGATTGTCGCGTAGTCGCGCGGAATGTCAGCATCTTGGTTGAGGAGGATAGATCATGATGAATGCTTATTAGGCAGAAGCAAGGACGTGCGTTGCCCCGGGATAAATCTCTGCCCTGTGTTTTTTTTTCTTCCAACCTTCATCTTGTGATGCCTTTCACACACAGATGCTGTCAAAGCCCATAGGCGGCAAAATTCAGTGAAATTTAAAAAGTTCTATACTCTTTGGTTCTTTCGGTAAAGTCACGTAGGTATAAAAGAAAATAAATCACGACGTTTCGGGCGCAACACAAAGCGTCCGTCATCAGGTGGGAAAGCAATGGTCTGCTGCTGAGGCAGACTGTTTTAAATGGTTTGAAATGGGTGTAGCCCAAGGGTTATAAAGTGGGCGGGGCTAGTTATGTTAATGTGTGAAATTAGCATGATGTTAATGTAAGAACGGAGAGCGGCCTCCTCGACGAGGGCACGGAAGTGGCCATGTTAATGTGAGAAATTAGCATGTTAACGTAAGATCGAAGAGTGGCCTCCCAGAGGCAAGAGCGTCAACACAAGAGAACCACCGCAACAGTGGCCATGCCAGTGAGACACACAGCCCATAACACAGTAAGAACCAATGATACATCGAGGCTAAGGGAGCAGAAGTGGCCATGTTAGTGAGACCCCAGTTAATGCAAGGCATCCCACAGAGCAATGCAACTCAGAGAGTTGGAGATAACAGCCAAACGGCAGGAAGGACGGAAGCATCACAGCGAGTTATGACTTTACCTGGTTAATAACGTCCTGCAATTGTGAGAGATGGACTGTAGGGCATGTGAGCATGAGAGTGTAATCCAAAGAAAATGTGAGCATGAGAGTGCAATCCAAAGGCATGAGAGTGCAATCCAAAGGACATGTGAGCATGAGAGTGCAATATAAAGGCACGAGAGTGCAATCTAAAGGCATGAGAGTGCAATCCAAAGGACATGTGGGCATGAGAGTACAATCTAAATGACATGTGAGCATAAGAGTTCAATACAAAGGCATGAAAGTGCAATGCAAAGGACATGTGAGCATGAGAGATCTAAGCGAGAGGCATAGAGAGAGAGACAGAGAGTCGGAAATAACAGCTGACATAGGCAGGTAGGATGGAAACATCACAGGCAGTTAAGACTTTACCTGGTTAATAACGTCCTTCCAAGATTGCTCAGTTTGTACCCATCTTGTCAGTTGAAGTTGTGTCTGTGTTTATATATCTGAATGGCTTCATGAACAAATCTCTGAAGATAGCCGGTAGGTTTGCAGAGTACCACCGTCTTGGAAAAATCTATTTCATGAGCCCACAGCGTTAAACGAATGACCGGCAACGGTAGAGGTATTGGTCCTACCGTGTTTCAGATCTGCCTTGTGTTTACGAACGCGGCCGAGATGTCGTTTCATTTCCGCAATGGGACTGCTGCCGCAATCACAACTCGGTTTGTAGACACCAGGGTATTGCATGTCAGGAATCACATCCTTTACAGATGGGATTCAATCACGGATTTTGTGTACTGTGTTTAAACGAACCTGGATCTAGTGTTTGTTTAAGATTTTGGAAATATTTTTGATAACCCCTGCTATATATGGCAAGGTGATGGTTTTGATTGGGTCCTCAGATGGTTGTCTCCCCATCGCTGGGGAGACAGCTTTGCGGATTGTACGGTCAGAATATCCATTCATCCTGAGGGCTTGGTGTAGGCGCTCCAGCTCACTGGCTAGGTGGTGCTGGTCAGAGATGCAATGGGCCCTATTGTGTAGTGTTTTGATGAGGGAATTCTTCTGGGCTGGTGGTGGGAGTCAGGCTTTAGATAGGCATCCGTGTGGGTGGCTTTCCTGTAGACTGAATGTCCCAACGAGCCATCAGGTCTCTTCTCGATCAAAACATCCAGGAATGGTAGCTTGCCATCCTTTTCCACTTCATTGGTGAATATGATAGACGGGTGCATGGAATTGATGTGGTTGAGAAATTGATTCAGTGCCGGCAGGCCATGTGGTCAGATGACGAACGTGTCATCTACGTATCTCTTCCACAAGGAAGGACGTAGGGTGGATGTCTGGATGGCATCTATCTCAAATTTCTCCATGAAAACATTCACTACCACTGGCGATAAGGGAGAACCCATTGGGGTAGCCTAATTTTGTTTGTAGAATGTACCATTCCAGGTGAAGTATGTGGTGGTAAGGCAGTGCCTTACCAAAGTTGGTACATCTGGATTCAGTCCTTGTTGGACCAAGTCTGCAATGAATGCAATGGTGTCAGGTACAGGTACATTGTTGAACAGAGAGACTACATCGAAACTGACAAGCAAATAATCTGGAGACAGTGAGATGTCCTTGATTAGAGAAACCAAGTGAGCTGAGTTAAGTACAGCTGAGGTGGACTTGCCCGTGAAAGGAAGCAGGGTCTCAGACAGAAACAGGGCCAGTTTGTAGGTGGGTGAGTTAATGGTGGAGACGATAGGACGGAGCGGGGTACCTACTTTGTGGATTTTTGGAAGGCCATAAAATTTGGGTGGTCTAGCAGCCGAAGGTTTTAGGGAGCTCTGCTTGGTCTGATCGATTAGAGAAGTCAATTTAGTTATTATATTGTTTTTTTGTGGCAAGGCAGTTGGTGGGATCTCTGTTGATTTTGGAATAGCTGCCATCATTAAGAAGGTTCTGAATTTTGTTGTTGTAAGTGGTTTTATCCATGATGACAGTGGCATTGCCCTTGTCGGCTGAGAGGATGACTATATCATCCATTTTTTTTTATTTAAAGAGTTCAAAACGCTCGTCCTTGCTGATGTTGCTAATGGGTTTCTTAGCGTTTTTGAGGATAGCAGCGATTTCAGATCTAGCAACGTCTGCCGGGATGTGTCCCAAGCCTTTGAGGGCTACGTCGACCTGGGCAATGATATCATCCACTGGGATGTGTTAGGGGTGACTGAGAAATTCAACCCCATTAGCTAGTACCGATTTTAGGCTGTTGGAAATTGGGATGTTACTATGATTGATGACACTCCTGTTCACATCTAACTTTTGAACGTGTGGCTTTGGCTTCTTTTTTGACAGGTTGAATTTAGCGATCAAGTTAACTTCACATTTGGTTGACATTGAAGTAGCAGTCTGCCTCAGCAGCAGATGCTTTCTCACCTGATGACGGACGCTTGTGTTGCGCCCGAAACGTCGTGATTTATTTTATTTCATACTCACGTGACTTTACCGAAAGAACCAAAGAGTATGGATTCCTGCAGTCACGAAAGCTTAAAATCAAGATTAAAAAGTTCTACTCAACGCAGTGGCCAGATCGCTCAGAGGTCAGTCACGGTACTGACCTTAGTACTGATGCAGATCTTGTGTCTGACTCCACGTTTCAGCCGCCTCCAATTAAACTGGGTTCTGAATAAACTAAACTATTAAACAAACGCTTTATTTTACCAGGTAAGGCCCAGAGCTATATAGCCCTTTTGCAGAAGCGACCTGACCATCACAAATGACAGCTCAACAAAGTGGCTTATCATCATGTGGAAATGTGTAGCAGCCAACTACTTCAAACGCATGTTTCTAAATGTGGAGGGAAAAACCGGAGGATGTGGATAAAAATCCACGCGACCACAGGGAGAGAGACACGCAAACTCTAAATATACAGCAGGCGTCAGGGTCAGGATCGAACCCACAACCTCCTGCATACCAAGCGAGGTAGCTAACATCTCCTAGTCACCGTGGTGATAAAAGATACGCAAACTTCAAATATACAGCAGGCGTCATTGTCAGGATAGAACCCACGACCACCTGTATACCAGGTGAAGTAGTTAACATCTCCTAGCCACCGTGGTGATGATAAAAGAGACACGCAAACTCCAAATATACAGCAGGCCTCATTTTCGGAATGGAAGCCACGACCAGGTGAGGTAGTTAATATTCAGCAGGCGTCAGGGTCGGAATCGAACCCACAACCTTCTGCATACCAGGCGAGGTAGTTAACATGTCGCCACAGCGGCGTCCCTCTCGCCATCACGGCGTCCCAATAACTACTCCAAGTAAAAAAGAAACCCCATCGCACTAAATTTGGTTTCCGCACTTAATGGTCTGCTACATGCAAGCTTGGGGAATTACAAATGTCTGTTTGACGATCGTGCCAAGAATTTTCCGGCGGGCGGGCGGGAAAGAAGTGTTGCCCCCTACCATGTGGATCGGGGAGCTTAATGGAATTTC